CCAGCTGTGACCACCCATCAGCCCACGACACACACCAGCTGTGACCACCCATCAGGCCCACGACACACCAGCTGCACCACCACAGCAACACACACAAACCACACCCACACACACACAACCGACCACCTATTAGGCCCACGACACCAGCTGCTAAGACCTGTCAATGCCTGTTTCTCACCAGCCAATACAACAACGCTTAAAGGTTTTGACAGGTAAATGGCGTCAGTATCTGGTAACCAAATAATATACATATAAACCTTTTCAACAGGTTAATAATTTTTTAATGAAGTAACAACATAATATTCACTTAAAAGTCATTGAAAGGTAACTACTTCAGATTCTCCATTCCCTCAAAAAAATCCCTTAAAAGATTCCTGTATTGTTGCATTAAAATTGTATAACAAAGCCTGATAAAACATTGTAATATATACTTTATGGCTTTAGCAAATAATATCCTGTTTACTTTTAACAAAATCTAGTAATTTAAAAGATTTTCAAATGGCAACGCTACCTGAATGTGCGGAAGGAATATAACTAATCCAAAATGCTTTAAATTGCAAATGTCTTCTGTACGTGGTGGCTGTGTTGCATACGAGCGAGGGAGAGATAGAGAGAGATAGGGAGACATGAGAGAGGGGGGAAAAAGAGAATGAGAGAGAGACAGAGAGAGGAGAGTGAGAAAGACACTAGAGAGAAAGTGAGAACACGTGAGAAAGAGAGATAAGAGAATGAAGATAGAAAAAAAAGAGATAAAATCTAGAACAGAAGAGAAATGGACAGGGAATGTAGAAAGAGGAGAAAATAGGAAGATAAGTAGAGGGAGAAGAAAAAGTAAGAGAGAAATATAGAAAGACGAGAAAGAGAGAGACACTGAGAGAGATAAAGAAAAGAGAAAAAGAGAGATAGAATTGGGAGTAAGGTAAAAAGACACCGAAATAGAGACATGGAAGAAAAAGAAGAGAAAGAAGAATATAAGAGAAAGGAGAACAAATTAAAGAATGGAGGAGTGAGGCAAATGAGAGACAACGAAAGGAGACACAGACAGAGAATGAAAGAGAAAGAGGAAAACCGTAAAAGAGAGACAGACAGAGGACAGAGATAGACAGGGACGACAGAGAGAGACAGGAGGGGAGAGATATAATATTAGGGAGACAGGAACAAGGGGGTAAATCCAACTCAAGAGACAAGAGAGATAGAGAGAGACAGGAAGAGACAAGAGAGATAGAGAGAGACAGGGCCACGTGTTAATTCAACTCTCATATATTCTTATTGATTACACCTGACAGGTAGAACATAAAGGGCTCATACCACTCAAGTGTCTACCTGTCTCTACCTGTCTTTATCTCTACCTGTCTAAACGTCTCTACCTGTCTAAATGTCTCTACCTGTCTCTAATTATCTCTACCTTTATCTACCTGTCTCTATAAGGGCAGTAGGTATTTTTGCTTAACTAAATTTACTGAGGAAGGGAACACACACACACACACACACACACACTGAATCTTATCGGTAACAAGTGTATGATTTTGTGTTTTATAATTGAAATGATTGATAAATGTATTAGATAAAAGATAAACGCGTTGAGGTAAAATTTAGTCGAAAACATGTGACGGGAAATCTGAACTGAGAGAGTAGGGAGACTTCATAGGGAGGAGGTGACAGGGAGATATCATAATTGAGGTGGTCTTAGGGAGAGAGGAGGAGAGGGTATAGTGGAAACTGATAAGAGGAGTGGATGAAGAGAAGGGGTTGGAACATAGAACACCTGGCCAGTAGAAAATTGTTGATAATTCATTCACTATAAAGAAATTATTGCCGTTGTCTTTAGCCCATATAAAATATTTGGGAATGTCTTTGTTGTCTTCATGATCACGGCCAAACATTTCCCTCTTATTGAGAATAACAGTCGTCACCTGGAGAGACGGGCAGCCTGTAACAACATTAAAGGAAGATTCATTAATCTATGTATATTTCTTCACATATGGTTTATCATTTTTTACAGGAATAAGAAAAAGTCTGGTAACAAATAAACATAAATATTTAACACTAAGAATGTCTACAATTTCAAACAAATTATAAACAAGTGTTTAGTATCCCGTCCATCCTCCTCCAGCCTCAACAACTTCCTGAATCCTCCTGGGTATGGGGTCGACAGGGCTGAGACAGAGGTTGGGTCCAAGGCGGCACGCTCTCCCACATTTCCTGAGCCTCGTCTTCCACTGCTCGCCTGCTCCCTCCTCCCTTACGCTCCCGACACATCATGGCCAATATTTACCTCAAGCTCAGGATGCCTCTGACGCCAGTCTCACTACCCGGCGAGTGTGGATCAGACTTCTGTCCTGGACTAGCCTGATGGTGTCGAGAGCAGGAATTGCGATGGCTCGAACTGATGACAGGATGACTTCCTCAAGGATGTCAACGTACTGCTACCCGGTGAATTTTCCCTCCATCTTCGGGACCGTATGCCCACATCCACCTCCAGAACGATATGCTGACCCTCCCGCTAACAGTACGCTCATCTGGTAGGGTGTGTTGCTGGGTCCTATCACTGCCTTGCTCCCACCTCCATGGACGAACAATATTCTCGTCGATGAAGACTGTGCTCCTCCAAAATTCGACATCACAGGCAATTGAGGGCAAAGTCGAACCGGGACCTTTACACTGGTGTCAGCCTTTCTTTGTGTGCCGGAACATAGCAGTAGATACCGCTGTTCTGCAGGCGACATCTGGTGGTCGCAGGTTGGCAAGGCAGCTGAGGATCTCATGTCAGCTGCACTGCTGACGTGAACTGATGTTCGTCATTCATCCTGGAGGTGTTTACACGCGGTCTTGTTTCCATCGAGCCCTCCGCCTGCCACTGCTTGATCCATGCACTTCTTCATCATTATTCTGCGCTGTCTCCTTTGCCTGAGTCACTCACTGACATCCCCATTTCCCACATCTCGACAATCGTGTCTCCCTCAGTCACAATCCCTGGCACGTTAGCCCGTCCTTCAGCCATTCTGTAATGAAATTCATCATATATACAAAACAAGGAAAAAATTACTGATTCATAACTTTCAAATTTACATATTTTTGTCAACTTATTTATTATTTTATTCATTAACACAATTAGCCATCCACTATACCTCGTCCTCGAGTAGGAGTCGTGGCACTAGAGGCCGACGTCAGGATAGATAACAATTCAACTCTCGCGTGTAAGCTGCTATACTCTCAGGGCGGTGTGGCAGGTACCCAACCTAACCAACAAGGCTCACTGGTGTAGGTAGTTCACGGTCTCAACACACCTGCCGCTACTGATTCAGTTTGGGAAGAGACGCGGACTTTTCGAGGTGACTGTACACTCTTAACAAACACTTCACCAACACCTGGGTACCATGGAAGTGGGAATGGACAGAATGGGGCTTCTTATCTCTGAATGGTTTCAGATTCTTCGTTCGTTTTTCAGATTGCACAATACTTACAGCGTCCGAGAAGCTTTTGGTAAGAGTGTACATAGGGTCACTCACACACACACAGTACACGGGGTCACATACAGTACACGGGGTCACACACAGGGGGGGGTTTGAGGCCATCACGAGTGAAGGTAAGAGAGGCGAGCATAAGTTATGAGAATGTCATTATGGATTACTAAGAGACACACGTACTTACTGGAGCTAACGTCTGGTGCTGGAGAGGAAGGGAAGAAAGGGGAGGGAAGGGGAGTAAGAAAGAGGTAAAGGTGGAGAAGGGAGATGAGGAAGGAAGAGGGAGGGTAGAGGAAGGAAATGGTGATAAGGGGGGAGGGAGGATGGAAGAAGGGAAAGGAGATGAAGGAGGAAAAGGGAGGGGGGAGGTAAAGTTAGAGAAGGAAGACGAGGGTGGAAAAGGGAAGGAAGGAGGATAGAGGAAGGGAAGGGAGATGAGAAATGAGGAGTATAGGGTGGCAGATGAGGAAGAAGAAGTAAGGGAGGAGGGTAGAGAAAGGAAAGGCAGATGGGAGAGGAGGATGGAAGGATGGTAAATGGAAGGAAGGTTGATAAAGGAGGAGAGAAAAAAAGAGAGAGGGAGAGGGAGAGTAAGAGATGGGAAACAGGACGTATTTTGTAGTTAATGGGTGTTAAAGTAGGATAATGGGAGGGAGGGAGAGAGGGGGACGAAGGAAGCGAAGGAGGGACGGGCGGACGGAGTGAAGGAGGAAGGGAAGGAGTGAAAGTAGTGGAGGAGTGGAAGGAAAGAGAATTGTCTTTTGTTTAGGTTAGGTTAGGTTAGGTTAGGTTAGGTTAGGTTAGGTTAGGTTAGGTTAAGTTAGGTTAGTTAAAAGATAAAAAATCATATGAAATTAAAATAAGAATTCATAAAATATAATAAATAAAACCGACAAGGAAATATGGAATTAAAGTTAGGATTTGTAAAGGAAAAGCAGTATGGAATACAAATGCTAAACATCTGGTAGACGCGGGAATGGTCGACAAGGGGCCTCCGCCAGCGCGGTGGTGTATGTAAAATAATTTCCATAAATTTCCATGAATTATTTGGCACTGTCATAATATTAATATCTGAACTATATTCTACGAGAGAATGACATTTAGTTATTTAACTTCTCATCATTACCTAAATAATTATTTATATTATTACTTCTGACTCTTTAAATACTACTACTTCTACTACTACTTTTTTTAACGTGGCCTCCAGCCTCCCCCAATAGCCACACCTTCGTCAATATTTTATTACCTTAATATTAAATATCCTAATACAATAATAGCTGTATACTGTGTGTATATATATATATATATATATATATATATATATATATATATATATATATATATATATATATATATATATATATATATACCATGCGTGTGTGCGTATGAGGTAGATTGATAAGTGGGCGGGCCCCTAGCAGCAGAGGCGGCGGAGGTGGTGGTGGCGGCGCTCTGATGGGGGGGTGAGGGGTTTCGGGAGATAGGGGGGGTAAGGGCAAGGGAAACCGTGCTGGCAGGTTCAGTGCTGGGCGGTCGGCTCACGGCAACGGATGAGTCTACGCGGTGCCTCGTCTCGCCCCATTGAGCAACATCCAACCAATTCTTCCCCATTTCGTGAATAATCCGCCAATTCAGACCCAAATTTCGCGCACTTCTCTTCAACTTGCAGCCGATTTCTTTACGTGTGTGTGTTTGTAATTCATCTAGTGCCCCATTTATCGTTCCATCGCCAAAAACGATCGTATATAGCCAGCGATTTTTGAGGTAAATCTCTCTTTTATTTTCCGTTTTTTGTGTTGGGTTGTAATTACCTTCCCTCCTTCCCCCTCCCTGTGTCTCTCACTTACTGGGACTATCTCTCCCACCTATCACACCCTTTAAATAAATTACACATCAATATATTGTTAGATAAAAAGTGATAAAATCTCAAGTGAAATGAAGACAAAAGAACTGTGAACATGTAACTGTTGTAAAGTGACTGACTGGTTGGTGAGCAGATTGTCAAGGGGAAGAATCAGACTGGATAAAAACTGAGTGCTGAAGACAATCTGGTTTTCACGTTTAGCCACTGCAGGTAAGACCGTTATTCTGAATTACTTTATCCGTTTATTTATCTATGTGTCTTAGTTTTATTTCTCTGCCTATCGATTTACTTATCAAATTTTCCATCTCTCTCTCTCTCTCTCTCTCTCTCTCTCTCTCTCTCTCTCTCTCTCTCGAATTGTACGTTCCGAATTAAACAAATTTTGCCTTAAAATCGATTGAAGAAAGTTTAAAAGTAATATTTTTTTAAGTGATTTTTATATTTTGACAACTGAAGAAATATTATTGATTAATATTATTATTATTATTATTATTATTATTATTATTATTATTATTATTATTATTATTATTATTATTATTTTATGCTAAGCCTTTCCTTCCATTCTTTACGGCACATTTCATTTTTTCCTGTCTCCCTCATCATTCACCTTCCTCACTCTCATCTCCTAAAATTTATCCTCCTTTCATCCGCATTTTTTTTCTTTTGTAATTTTATGGTAAACACCGGGAATTGAGGAAAATGTGGAAATGTGCAGTTCTCAGTGCCTGTATAGGGGGGTGGTTAAGGGGGGGTCATATGCTGTTGGTGCCAGTATACGGGGTGCCGGTACCTGGTTTTATTGACTTACACACACACACAAACATACATATACACACACGAAACATACACACACACGGAAACATACACACACGGAAACATACACGGAAACATTCACACACACGAGAACATTCAAGCACACGGAAACACACACACACACACACACACACACACACACACACACACGTCCTAAAAACAAAATGGTGTTAACTTTTAAATCCTTGTTACGGCCCATTATATAAGTACGCAAGAACAAGACTGCCCCGTGTAATCGTTCTCTGTGTGGTTATTACGTGAGTCATTACCTTGTCTACACCTGTCAATGCTGGTTAGGTTAGGTTAAGTTAGGTTAGGGCCTTATCAAATATTACTCAAACCTTCCGAATTTGGTGGCAATATTCAACCCTGTTCACAAGTTATTTTGGTGCCCGGACAGACAAACAGAACCGAAAACAATACCCTGCCTTACAGTTGTGCACAGAATAATAAGAGTGGCAGCATAAACGGTGGTGTCAACACTGAGGTAGGAGCCACTGATGATTGCTCAAGGTGTGATCCTGTGAGCCGGCGGTTCACATGAAGATCTTGTGGAGTTTCCTCAAGTTAGGACATTCGGAGGCTGTTAGAATATCAAGAATGGAGACGAATTGGTGTTGAGACTATAGTTATTGTATTTGATTTCCGTGGTATGTATTAACTGAAGGTGTGACTGCTTATATAAAGGTGCAAAAAAAGGTTTAAGTACAGGTATATAATATGTAAAGTAATCTATAGGTAACGCTACAGACACAGGTACAGGTAACGCTACAGACACAAGTACAGGTACAGGTAACGCTACGATATAAGTACAGGTAACGCTACAGAGACACGTACAGGTAACGCTACAGACACAAGTACAGGTAACGTACACACAGTACAGGTAACACAGACACAAGTATATGCTACAGACACAAGTACAGGTAACGCTACAGACACAAGTACAGGTAACGCTACAGACACAAGTACAGGTTACGCTACAGACACAAGTACAGGTAACGCTACAGACACAAGTACAGGTTACGCTACAGACACAAGTACAGGTAACGCTACAGACACAAGTACAGGTAACGCTACAGACACAAGTACAGGTAACGCTACAGACACAAGTACAGGTAATACAAAATACAGTAACTACAATAACACGTATACAAATAGAAACTTAACCTTGATATAAGTACAGGTACACAAATACTGTACCCAGGTTACAGTAGAGTTTCAATACGATTTGGGCATCATTTTGAGGAGGTGTAAAGAATGCAGCTGTGTCGAACTTATCAACGCGAAGATGGCGGTCAAAATGGCGTCAGAATTATATCGAGACTCAGGGCCAATTGCAAGAACGGTTATGGGGTGTACGGCGCCATTTGCGATGACCTTCTTGCCCTGGTCTTTTTTCAGCAATATCACCTTTAACACATGGAATTCTGCACTTTTCGAAGCTTTGGAGGAGTCTCGAAACAAGTTTCCTGGTGGGAATTATTAGCTAGTGCTGTAATCAAAATATCGAAACTTCGAGATCTCTCCAGAGCTTCAAAAGGGTGGTATAATTGAAACAAGATCAGGGCAAGAAGGTCATCGTAAACGGCGTCGTACACCCCACGACTGTTCTTGCAATTGGCCCTCAACTGTGCCTATCGATACTTCTCTTGCGGCCGAATAAGCGATTAAAAATATAACTTTTTTTAGTATTCGACGAACTAGAACTCAAGGATGGCGGACACACACACACACACACACACACACACACACACACACACACACACACACACACACACACACACACACACACACACACACACACACACACACACACGTAATCTCAAATATCACATTACACGCCATGGAGATTATCTCAAATCTAATAATATAAGGTAAGGGAGAGTAAACATTACCATTGTATTGCACATAAAGGGAGTGTTTCTATAGTCAGGGGGAACATCGACACACACAGGGAGGTTGTCTTTACATCAGAGGGAGAGTGTCATTGTGTGTATGCCTCTAGGGCGATTATAACTACTCAATTGCGAAGACTATCTTTAAATACACATAAAGGGAGATTATCTTTATAGTTACACACACAAAAGGGAGATTATCTCTTTAAACACACACAAAAGGGAGATTATCTTTAAACACAAATGGGCATTATCTCACACCCTCCCTGCACCACTTGTAAGCGAGTCACTGAGTTATAATACAGTATTAACCACAATCTTCCTCAGTTGTATGAACCACTTGAGTATGTATGTTTTAGTGTGTATATTTGTATATATGAATGTGGAGAGAGAGAGAGATAGAGAGAGACTAATGAGAGGAGCTGAGAGTGGAGAGGAAAAAAAGAGAGAGGAGGGAGGGAGAAAGAGAGTGACAAGGGAGGAGGAGATGGAAGAGAAAAAGAGAAAAATAGATGGAGAGAGAAAATGAAGGTGAAAGAGAGAGAGACAAGAGGGAAAAGGGGACGAAAGAGAGAAAGAAGACAAAAAGGAACTAGCGAGAGAGTTAGAGGAAGAAGGAATGAAGGAGAGAGTTGGAGAAGGAAGGGGGAAGGAGGGGGTGATACAGGGAGAGACTTAGAGGAAGAAGGAAGGAACGAAGGAAGGAAGGAAGGAATGGGAGGGAGAGAGTTAGAGAGGAAGGGAGGAAGGAACGAGGGAGAGAGAGGAGGAGACGGAGAGAGGAAGGGAGGAAGGAAGGAGCGAGAGAGAGGAGGAGGAGAGAGTTAGACAGGAAGGGAGGAAGGAAGGAAGGAGAGAGAGGAGGAGAAGATAATCACAAGGAACTTGATATATATATGACCATTAATTCACTGACTCTACGTTCCGTTTCTTATTCTCCCTTTCCCTTATCCTCCCTCTCTCCCTCCCTTCTTCACTCTCCTTCCTCTCCTTTTATTTCTTCTCTCCTCCTCTTTTTCCCTTTTCCCCAAAGTCCTTCCTTCTCTTCTTTATTTCCTTCCTCTTCCTCCTTTCTTTCCTCCCTTTCTCCTTCCCTTCATTCCTCCCAACCTCCCTCCCTCCCTTTTTACCTCCCCTCCCTGTTTCCTTTTCTTTTCCTTCTACATTCTTGCTCCAATTCTTTCTTCCCCCTTTCTCCTTTCTCCCCTTCCCCCCTTCCCCCCTTCCTACCTTCCCTCTTCCTCCATTCCCCCTTCCTCCCTTCTCCTACCCACAGCTTATCTCTGTCAACCGGCTTGAGTAGGTATTTACTCCCTCACCTCTCCGTAATCCCTCCCTATCCCCTTCCAAATCCTCCTCCCACCTCTCCCTTGCCCCTCCTTAGCCCCTCCCAAATCCCTCCCTTACCTCTCCCTCAACCCTCCCTCACCCCTCCTCGCCCTCCTTCACCCCTATCTCGCCCCTCCCACCTCCTAACCTCCTCGCCACTCCTTCACCCCTATCTCGCCCCTCCCACCTCCCTCCCTCTCCCCTCCCTAACCCCTCCCTAACCCCTCCCTAATCCTTCCTCACCCTAACCCCTTCTTTCAACGCAATAAAATCGGATTAAACCCAGCTTAATACATAGGAGAATAAATGGGTCATAGAAAAGCGATTAAGATAAAACCAGGTCACATAAAAAGAGATTTTCAGGTTAGGTTAAGTTTGGTTAGATTAGGTTAGGTTAGGTTAGGTTAGGTTACCCTTTAAACTGATTAATGATAAGGTGGGAGGCACTTATCAAAAGAGGACCTAGGAATGATGATGATGATGATGATTAATAATGACGTTTTACTGTTGGTTCATCAGTAACTCTATGACAAAACTGTTAGTCTATTCTTCAATATTACCGAACAGTTATTGTCGAAAATGGTTCAGGAGGAATCTTGACTGGACGAATTCAGAAAACAGATTCGACCGATTTTCCAGAATTGCATTTCAGCCGCCTCCTTCCCCAAAAAATAGAAAATTGGCTGTCATTTATCGTTGCTGCTAGAATTAAACTGTACAGTACATCAGGGCCAGAAATGTTCCAGAGAAACTCCCCCAAGTGTGAGAGGCGACAAACCAACTATGCTCAGAGTGTTGCGCAAAACCATGTTCAGCTGCCTTTTGATTCTGGACTATAAATTGTTTTGTGTGTATGGTGTATGTATGGTGTAATGTGTTGTGTGTGTGTGTGTATGGTGTATATAGTGTGTGTATTGTGCGTTATACCTATATACATATACTAAAATTTGATAACGATTCAATGTGAATTTATTACGATCATGAAAGTGATATAATCCAGTTGAAATTATTCTCCTATTTAATAATTTCTTGGAATATAATTATACACAGTAAATTATCTACCAGGGGCCATCACGATAGCTGAGACAACTCCAAAAAGATCCACCGTGTTGTTGTTGACTTTGTGCCTGTAATATCCCGGGTACATATGTTTCAATTTCAATTTCTCTCTGG